TGAGCTATGTTGAAGAAAATCTTCTGTAGTCACTAGAATTGCAATAGGTAACAGGAATAACTTAGTCCTGAGAATACATGCCACTGCTAGCAAATACTACCATATACATGCCACACAATTAGATCATGTTACTCATTGCCGACAACTCTTTCAATGATGTAAGTTGTGTTCTGAGCTACTCCCTCCGTCCGAAAATACTTGTCATCAAAATGAATAAAAGGGGGTGTATCTAGACGTATTTTAATTCTACATACATCCTTTTTTATCTATTTTGATGACAAGTATTTTTGAACGGAGGGAGTAGTAGTTGGGAGCAGTTATTGTATTGGCACTTTACCTGCTGTCATTCAGGGACTGGTTCTGCTTAGATTATGAATCTGGGGTCCCATTGTTATGGAAACTTAGAGCCTGTTCGGAATTCCGCCAGCTCCGCAAAATCCCCGGAGCCAGGAAACGGCAGCTCCAGGAGTGGAGGTCCTCCGAACAGGGCCTTAGATTATGAATCTGGGGTAAATTTGGAATTAGAGTGGATAATTCATACTTCCTATTTGAATCTGAAACCAAAGGCCGATGTTGCTTGTTATTTATTCATAGTTCCTATTTGTGGAATTATTTATCTAATAATGATGTGATTTCACCAGTAACTTAGTTGTAGACAATTCAATTATGGGCTAATGACAAAATTTCACATTGCAGGAGCCATGTGTTCAGCTCTTTGATGGGCAGTGCTTCCCTGGGTTTTGTGAAGAGTGTGCTACACTGAATAGATTTTTGTTTTCTCTTGCCATTTCTTTTTTTTCTATGCCATCATTGAGCAAGCAGTGTCGGTTCATAGTGAATGTGGTTTGCCGCAAAAAAAGGAGAAGTATTGTACCTTTTCCTCGTATGCCGACACTACCTGCCGTGGTTTTTTTTATCATTCCCTAGATCTCCATCCGTACCATTCTTTGCTGACAAACATCACTGTTCGAGTGACAGAAATTAATAGCACTTGAGGAAATTATGTTTACTTACGTATCCACATATATTGTTTCATGACGATGGTTGTGAAATTCGCTACACCTAGTGTGCCATTTTGAACCAAGAAAAACAAAGTTCAAAGGTTACTCTACGCTCATTATGTAGCCTGACTTTGAGTCACTGGCACATGGGGCCCACCAGATGCTGGACCTGCCTGTCAACGACCCAAAGTCACGCTGGGCTAAGTCAGAGAATGTCATTTGGAAAATTTCAGACTTGTGACGTATTCCTCGATGAATGTTTGGAGGGAAGAATTACGGAAACAAGCTGTATATTTTTTATTTAATGAAGTGCCTGTGTTGTATGAATTATGATACAAACTTGAAAACGCCTTGACTATGGTATATCACTAAACATGTGCTAGATTTGACCCAAAGTTTATTTTCTTATTTGTTTACATGAGGTGTGGCGGTGGTCGCGGGGTGGGGTGGATGCACTTGTCTAGAGAGACTAAGTGAGTTTCTGCAAATGAGTGGGTGGGTGACATAGGTCTTTATGCAAAAGTACCACAAATTACCTCACATATGTTTACTTGTGGATTGGACGGTCAGTACTGCTGGATGGTAGACACACTGTCATCAAACCTAGGTCTTGAAACCCTTCTCCCAAAGTCCGATTGTTGCTTTTCCTTAGATGAAGGGGAGTAGTGGAGGGAGGTTGGGGGTGTAGCGACGGCGATAGGTAGACGAGAGAGATGGATTCAAGCTCTCGGGGAGGCGCAGTGGTGGTTCCAGGCAGGCGGTAGTTACGAGGGGAGATATGGGGATGCATCAGGGTGGAGAGGAATGTGCGGATAATGAGTGTAAGAGACCCCCGCTTGATCAGAATAGAGGTGTAACTTACAATCAAATAGAGGTGAACTTCATGTTTTTTTGTTCTGAACCTGTCTTATGTTTTTTAGCACCTAAAATTGAACTCCTATCATTAATCATCAATCAAATGGAAAACCTTATAAAATGAAAAAGCCAACTCTCATGGGCATAACAACAAACACGCGTAGTGCACTTAGTTACAACATAATATATCCAGTTTTTTACCTTCTCGCAAGGTCTGTCCTTGCATCACAGTAGCAAGTATAATTGGGACAACTTGCAGAAGCTGGTAGCTGGACCTTCCAAGAGGATGAGTGCCTGCACAACGACCACCTAGAGAAGAAAACTGACAGGGAAGGGAATGTGAGGGAGGACGCAGTCGTGGATGCGTCGTGCTCGGGGATGTATGAGCTCGCCGGAGACAGCACCGTCTCCATGAGCATGACATGCGTCCTGAAGGAGCCGTCCTGCTGCTATTGCACGAAGTGGACTACAACGACCCCTTGACACATGCGCGAGTATGAGTGAGCAGCAGGACGGGCCGGGGGTATTGGCTGGGAAGCGGAGGAGCATAGTCGAATGACGGTGACGACCGGAGAAGGACGGGGACACATGCATAGCTTGAACTTCTATCGCCAGATGGATCGATGCAGCAAGAGCCAGGTCGCAGCGGTGGTGCAGAGGCAGGTCAGCGGCTATAGAAGCTGTGGGCGGCGGCGGCCGGCGTTGGGAGGCGCGCGACGAGAAGGTGTTGGGCGGTGGAGTGGGGGCCGTCGACGGCGGGAGGCGCGTCAGGAACCAGGGGCGGCGGCGCGCCAGGAGGAGGTGGAGGCGGCGGCCTCGCGCTAGAGGTGTCTGGGCGGCGGCGCGCCAGGAGGAGGTGGGGGCGGCGGCCTCGTGCAGGAGGTGTCGGGGCGTCGGTGCGCCCGGAGGAGGCGGGGCCGGCGGCAAGCCCAGATAGAGGTGGGGCGGCGGCGTCGCGCCCGGAAGGAGGCGGGGGCGGGAGGCGCACAGGGCGGCCGGAGGTAGGGGGTGGGGGAGGTGGGCGACAGGGAGTGACGGGGATAAGGTTCGGGGCGCTTGCGCTTTTTTCTGTTAAGCTCGCCCGATCTCAGTAACATCCAGTCGGGCCCCGTGATCTGAATAACTATTCTAATTTCAGGATTAGAATAGTGCTATATATATATAAACACTATCTTGATCACGAGATCAGAATATTATTTTAATCACAACCTGACCTTTCTGAGTTATACGCGTGAACTTCCCTTTGTAGAAACCCGACCTTCAGGCTATCTTCGTAACCGTGACTCCCCGCGCGAATTTTTCTGGTCAGTCGTGTTCTATGTGATGCAAGTGTAAGCTGCAAACGTTTTAGCAACTAAATGCCCGTTTTAAATTGGAATATCGCTCATTAGCGTATTTTGCTCTTGGGGCGTGATGAACATGCGTCTGCTGCAATTTTACTGCCTGAGTTGTTCGACCTGAACTTTCCTCAGTGGTAGGTTGAACTTCCGCAAACATTGCCTAAATGGGGCTTGCGATATACCGTTGGAAAGCTATGGCCACGAGTATCATGACCCAAGTGTAATTTTTGTTAAAATGTAAGCGGTTTAAGAGCAGTTTTGAAAACCGTTTTTTCTTCATACAAAAAACGTGAATCGTATTTTCGATCGCATTTCTAAACCGTTTATCAGAATGAGGTAAATAATATGGCATTGGAAAGCTACTGCAAAACCGCTTCTTCCACATGTTGATAATTTTCTCTAATTCCCAATGGTTGATGAGTAATTTGGAAAATCGTAAAATTTTGCAAACCGAACAACCGAGTTGGTATTTTCCATGCCATTTCTAAACGACTAATCCAATTGAGGCAAATGATATGGTGTTGGAAAGCTTATGAAAATGCGCTACTTTTTCATGTTAAAAGCATTTTCTATTTTTGAACGGTTTAAAAGTAATTTAGAAAACGATACAAGTTCCACTGAGTTCATATTTTCGAGCTAAGTTTTTAACCGTAAGTCCAAATGCAGGAAATGATATGGCATTGGAAAGCTTGAGGAAATGCGAAACTTTTTGGTATATATTGTTTCTCCCAATTTCTTACGGTTTTAAGTCAATTTTGAAAATGGCTAAAAACATATTTTTGCCGTAATTTGTAGAAACTTTATCAGAATGGGGAAAATAATATACCACTGAAAAGCTACGAAAAATGCGAAACTTTTTCATGTTGATGGTTTTCTCTGATTCCTAGCCGTTTTCAAGTAATTTCAAAAACGGCGAGATCATTCGTTCTTCCTTTATCGCGAAACAGATTCTTTGAAAATGCACCACGTGAAGAACTTGAACTTCTTGGCATGTCTACTTGAACTTCACTCTGTTTTTTCACGTGCTTTTTTTGCTCGTAGCTCTCCATCCACTCACCGGAATTGAGCAAGTGATATACCGATGGAAAGCTGATGTAAACACGCAACTTTCCCGTGTTGATCATTTTTTCATACTCGCGATGATTTTAAAATTTTTTCATCTGAAATTCATTCAGTGTAGTTGGTGAACTTCCTGCTGTTTTCACGTTGAACTTCTGTGACATATTTTTGACGTGTTGTTTTTTGCACTGCGTGAAGTAGTTGAACTTCTGGGGCATGTCTGTTTGAACTTCAATCTGTTTCACTTTATTGTATTTTTTATATGAAATACACACCATGTTGTACGTGAACTTCCGGTTGTTATCACTTTGAACTTCTCTCTGGTTTGAGAGAATTATTTTAAAACACAAAAACAACACATTTTTTTATGTATTTTGGACATCCAAATACACAGTGAACCTCTCTCACAAGATTTTTTTTGAACTTTTTCTCGCTGAGCACTTGAATTTCTAGCAACCATTTTTTGTTTATGAGTTATTTTTAAAAGTGCAAAAAATGGCGTTGTGTTTTTTCTTTTCTTTTTTGAATAGGTAAATCCTAGGTTTTAATAAACTCCAAACTTCTCTGTTATTTCAATTTGAACTTCACCTTTTTATATTTTTGAGTAAAGAATTGTATTCAATTTTTTTACGGAAAAAATCAAACATGGAAATACAAGGTGAACCTCTCTCGCAAGAATTTTCGAACTTCCCCTGACGGAGTACTTGAAATTCTTTCAACAAACCTTTTAAGCTTTCATTTTTCTATACTTTTATTCTCACCTAAAATGCATTTGTTGCAATACTTGAACTTCTCGTTGTTTTCACTATGAACTTCTGTCACATTTTTGTGTATACGTTGAATTACACGCAATTAAAGGTCGGACGTCATTTTTTGCCATTTTCAAATATGTAATTGGAGGTCGGATGTCCCGCAATATAAATTCTGAATCGTGAACGGAGGAGCACGTGAACTTCTTGCAACAAACCTTTTAAGCCTTTTGTTTTCTCTTCTTATATTCTTATCTGAAACGCATTACGTGTAGTAGTTGAACATGCCGCTGTTTTCACCTTGAACTTCTGTCACATATTTTTGTTCAACCTTTGTCATAAGAATTTTTGAACTTTCTCGAGCCGAGCCCTTGAACTTCTAGAAACAAAACTTTTAGCCTTTGCTTTTTCATTCTTTTTTTCATACAAAATACACATAGTGTAGTACTTGAACTTCTGGCAGTTATTAATCCAAACTTGTCTCGATTACACGAAAATATCTGAGTTTTTTATAGACGTCGAACAACTCTACTTTTTTTATTTGAACTTCATTGTGTGTTTGTAGAAATGTGAAAATTGGAGGTCTTTTAGAAACATCAAACTTCTTCGTTATTTGGAATTGAACTTATTGGTTTTATTCTTTAGTAACTGGAAAAAAATCTAATTTTTCAAATAAATATCAAACTTTTCCGCCTTTTCCAATTGAACTTCTTGG